ACGACCAAGGGCAAGATGGATGATGGCATCCTTGAAGTGACTGCTTGACCTTGAAGGAGCTGGGGGTGGTGACGGCCGACAGGGAGCTCTGGTATGGGCTGGTCCATGAGGTCACGAAGAGTCGGAGACGACTGAACGAATGAACAACACACATAGCGCCAAAGCGTCACATTGCAAAATGGTTTCTCAGCTGCTTAGAGCAGCTGAAGTTGAGTTCAGACAGCATGTTTATCTGTCCCTTGTGTGTTGTGCATTACTTGTTGTGGTTGTGCATCCTATATTTTGCATTGTGGTTGTGTATTGATCATTATAAATCACACAATGGCACTGAGTCGTGAACATGTGTTGCACAATTTTGAGGTAAGCTTATATGGTGTTTTCTCAGCAAGATTTGTTCAGGAAGTTGGTGGTTGTCTTTCTCCAAGGATGAGAGAGCGTGCCATGCCCAAACTCACACTCTGTGTTTCCTACTTTCCATCCCTAGCAGGGGTTCAAACCCTTATCTCACTGTCTTTTAGTCCAGAACTCATACCATACTGTGTCTCTCTAGAAGCAGACAGACTAGAATTTTTTGTTGTTGTCAGGAGCGTCTTGAGAAACTGCAAGTCGCTTCTGGTGTGAGAGAATTGGCTGTTGGCAAGGACATTGTCCAGGGGATGCCCGGATGTTTTTGATGTTTTACCACCCTTGTGGGAGGCTTCTCTCATGTCCCTGCATGGAGAACTGGAGCTGATAGAGGGAGCTCATCCGCACTCTCCCCGGATTCGAACCTCCGACTTGTTGGTCTTCAGTCCTGCCAGAACAAGGGTTTAACCCACTGCGCCACTGGGGGCTCCAATAGATTAGATTATATGTTCCTTATTCTGTTTCCCTGAGCAAGAGAGCAACAACAATTGGTACCCGGTGTATAATGCTTGATAACTTTACTAAAAGTTTTAAATAAATAATAAAAGTTTTAAATAAATAATAAATACTAGAAGTGCTGTTTTGGGATTTTGTTCCAATAATCCAGGGCATGGGATGGTCCTGAACTAGCAGCCCTAAAGCCCTCATTATATTTTGATGGAAACCTTATTTGATGTAATTGTTAAAAAACCAGTATACTTTTAAATTGCTTTTAGTTCCAATGTATTTAACATGATTGTGTTGAAACTATTTGTTTAATACATTCATCTGGTTTGAAGTTTTTTATGAGCCTCATTTTGCGTAAAAAATAGATATTTATTTATATAACAGTGTATTTTATCAAAGAACTCTGGCTGCTCACTCTGAATCTACTGTCTGTTTCCAAACTCAATATCCACCTGATGATGCTGACATATATGCATGGAAAACAGCTTTAGAAAAAAGCCCACTCTGTTATCAGGGAGAGCACAGTAATGAGACTAAAGCTTCCCTTAAATATCAATTTGGGAACATAAAGGTCAACAAAGGGGGACAACATTGGCAGTTTTGTAGAGAGCTCCTATCAGTAGAAGCAGCTTAATAGCAACACTGTAGGCCTCTTGTTTTCAGAGCCCTTGGGTTACGATAAACTGTATTACACGTGGGCTAAACAAATGCTGCCTGACTAGCAAGGCATCTAGTTGGAAAAACAAAGACCACACTGTCTGGTTTGCTACAGGGATGTGATACTTAATCAGTGTTTGCCCTGGCTTGGTTTCAAGCACACACTGAGGCTGAGTATCAAAAAAGGGAGTAAATGCTGGTGGTAAAAATAATACCAAATGAATACTTTAAAAAAGTAATTATTATCTATTTGGTTTTCTTATTCTGTCCCAAGAGAGGAAAAGTTCAAGGCAGTATCTCAGTTTGGCTCCTTTTGCAATGTAAAGGACAAGAATTTTGCAACCCAAGATGTCTGTACTTGAAATGAAATCCCTTTAACTGATGTATGTAGGTATGTATGCATTGTGCTATCACTGTACATGGTGCCTCACAAAGAAAAGAACAATGTTCCCTGACCTGAGATACAATCTAAGGATAACAGAAAATGAAAAGGAGATGGCACTGTGGCAATGGGTTGTCTAGCAGATACTGGGATGGAGCAAGGCATTACATAACATAAAACCATTGCAGCAAAAGTGGAATAATGTGTTGTTGAAGGTCTTTATGGCCGGAATCGCTGGGTTGCTGCCTTTTCTGGGCTGTATGGCCATGTTCCAGAAGTATTATCTCCTGACATTTTACCCACATCTATGGCAGGCATCCTCAGAGGTTGAGGGATCTGCTGGAAACTAGGCAAGTGAGATTTAGATATCTGTAGAATGTCCAGGGTGGGAGAAAGATCTTGTCTGTTCGAGGCAAGTGTGGCTGTTGCAATTGGCCACATTCATTACCATTGAATAGCCTTGCAGCTTCAAAGCTTGGCTGCTTCCTGCCTGGGGATCCTTTGTTGGGAGGTGATTAGCTGGACATGATTGAGCCCTGTCTGGAATTCTCATTTTTGACTGTTGTTCTTTATTTACTGGTAGCCAGATCTTGCATTCATGGTTTCCTCCATGAATGCCCACCCTGGACATTCCACAGATATATAAACCTTACTTGCCTACTTTCCAACAGACCCCTCTGTCTCCGAGAATGCCTGCCACAGATGAGGGCAAAAAGTCAGCAGAGAATGTTTCTGGAACATAGCCATATAGCCCAGAAAACTCACAGCAATGTAACTGTTTTAAAAGGCTGTCAGATTAATAAAGCTCTTATAAAAATATGGTTTCAGATCTTAATATTTGCTGCACATAGTGTATAAGGAATCATTACAACTTGCTGGTCTATTGTAGGCATGTAGGGTCCACTGCAACTCACAATAGCCTGGGAATGGAACAGGGTCTAAGGTGCCCCCCAGTGGCTAAAGACAAGATCTTTTAGCCCAGTCAAAAGGAGAAAATGGTTAACAAAAACTGGTGCCAAGATATGCCAATCATACATCCTCAAACTGGCCATGTCCATTGCCATGAACCACGATAGCAATTTCATGACTTATTCCAGATGTGCCCACCAGCCTCAACCCATTAAAATCCCAATCAATATAATCAGGATAGGAAAGCCTAAGTCGGCTCCCATTCAAGAATCTATACCAGAGCCTCTTCTGCCCCATGGCTCTCTTTTACAATATTTACCAACAGAGAATAGGATTATTTTCGTGTTGTTGCAGGCTTTCATGTCCAGAATCATTGGGTTGCTGTGAGTTTTCCAGGCTTGTATGGCCATGTTCCAGAAGCATTCTCTCATGCCTTCTAATGGAAACCTCTGAGAATGCCTGCCATAGATGTGGCTGAAACGTCAGGAGAAAATGCTTCTGGAACACAACCATACAGCCCAGAAAATTCATAGGAACCAAGTATTATCTTCCTTCTTGCACACAATCCTGGCAATTTCAATAATCTTGTGAGAAAGGTTGTATGTAGTCACTTGGCACCGTGTACACTTCCAACTGTGGGCTCACCCCAGAACGATTTCTCAAAGGAATTTACTTAGTATTTACTATCAGAAATTTACAACAAACATTTCTTTTAAAACCTTGCATAGGTTACTACTAAATTTTGTTTCTTTCCTCATTTTGAAAACTTCTGGCAATGCTATAGATTTAATTTTCTTTTTAAAAGCCATGTCAAGTTTTATTTTATATGAAGTTGGCGAGTAAAACTTGAAAATGTAAAACAAATCGCAACTATAGTCTGAAGGCACTCATGCTATAAATCTTGCTGATGAGTCTTGTCAGGGCCTGGAAGGGAAGCCCTATAGGCAGCTACTAAAAAAACCCGAAGTGCATAATTTCAGCCATTTCACAGAAACACTTTCCAAGTGAATGGTGCAGAATCTAATGAATTTTTTGAAGTGTGCTACAAAACAATTCTGTCAAAGCTCTTGCTCCAAGTCGGGCATTCCCCCTGAGGACATTAGGAAAGCACATATGCAATCAAAGGGAAGGCAAGGCCTTGGGAGAACATAAGAAGAACAGAAAGTCAGACTCAATGGTTGTTCTTTCACAAACCAGCTGTTGCTAGCTAAACCTAATGAAATACTAAGAAATATATATTTAAAAGTTAATAAAACTCTTCATTTTATTTAGGTTTCAGTTGACAACTGTCTCAACACACACTACATTCATTAAACATTCATATATTACTTTGGAAGTTATTTTGGAATAAATATACATACACACACTCACACCGTTTCTTTTTAAAAAGCACAGATTACAATTCATCAGAAAAGCCTTTTAATGCAGCTTGGGAAGTACAAGGCATCCCAATCTCTCACAGAGCCCTGATGTTTTAAATTAGGTGTGAATGTTCTTTATTTGGCAATAAGTTAGTGCACTCTCATAAATAGATGTTTCATTTGCACATGCTGTAAGTTCATTTTAAAAAGGCCACACTCCCAACTGGGAGCACCAGGAATTTTATTCCTCGGCTTCAGACTCTTCGTCCTCATGGCTGATCTGGAAATACCGCAGTTCATAGGTCTCCTTATCAGAGGCCACCACACGCAGCCAGTCACGGAGGTTGTTCTTCTTGAGATACTTCTTAGTGAGATACTTAAGGTATCTTTAATGCAAAAGGAAAGTAATGTGAGTACAGGGTGTTATTTGAAAACAAAACACTCCCTTGTCCACAAATACAAGGTAAAAAACACCCCCCCCCCTTCATGTGAAACTGCTGGACCCCCTTCTTTGTCCCTGCTGCCACCATCCTTGTCTTCTCTCCCTTCCTGGCAGGTAAGAAGCAGGAAACAGCAGGGGAAAGGGAGTGAGCAATGCTATTCGCTGATGAAATCTGGAAACAATGCAGCAGCCACATTTTCCAATTATGTTTTTAAGACATGAGGAGCTATAAAAAGGAGAAGACTGGGGCTAAAGATGTTGGAGGCCAACCACAGCCTACACAAGTTTATAGTCCTCATCAAGGAAATAGATAGACAGATGAGGTAGCTTGTACAAAAGCCCTTCTTTCCCCATTTACCCTCTGTCTGCCTGTCTTTCTATTCTGTCCTCTTAATTCTTTGTGACATTAGACCAGGCAACGGCAAACTTTGGCCGTCCTGGTGTTTTCGACTTCAACTCCCATAATTCATAGCAGCCTGCTGGCTGTTAGGAATTGTGCGAGTTGAAGTCCAAAACACCTTGAGAGTGAAAGTTTGCCCAGGCCTGGACTATGCTGACCAAGTTTGCCTATACCTGTCCTAGAGTAAGATGGAGACATAGCTACCATCTCCAAATAGTTAGATACTATATAGTTTCCCAACCTTTTCTATCTAGAAAATGTAATTATTTCTAATACATCTTTTTTGTAAGTTTAAAAAGCTGGCTTTGGCTCCATTTTAGATTGCTGAAGCCAATTTGCTCTTCTGCAAGCTGTGACGCCGTGTGAGGGTGAAACTGCTGATTTTTTTTTATTGTTCCTGCTTTTGTTTTAAATGCTTTTTCCTTTTGGAAATTCCTGCAAGAAAAGACTGCTCACAGCCCACATCAATGCCAGTTACATGTGTCAAAATTATTCTCCGAGATTTTATTAAAAAGTCAATACAATTTCCAGGTAAAACAATGCTGAAAATTACTCCATGTGATATCAAAATATTCTAGAAGCCTTCACAGAAGCCTACTCTAAAGCTCTTTTGATATCAAATTAAACCAGTTAGCTTCCTTTCAAATAAGTTGCTAGTTATGAAACTAGATTGATACAGTTTCGCAATATAGAACAGCACTGCCTCCTTTTCCAGCCCTCCTTCCTGGAGCAGATGTCAAGAGAGAGGAGATCCATTATTCTTCCACATTTGTACACATACACTTTAATGACAATGCAAAGGAACATTTCTAAAGTACTTCAAGCGTAATTGCATTTGTAAATGGCAATGTAAGTTGTATAGTTTTGCCTTGGAATAAGGGTTGGCACGCTGAGGTCCTCCAGATTTTGTTTTGGACTCCCAATCTCAACCAATATGACCAATAATGAAGACCAGTCCCATCTTGGTAAGAGATACTTGCAGCAATGCAAATCTGCCCACCTACACAGGCCTTCTGGCCCGTATGGCATTCTGTTCCAGTTTCCTAGCTCTTGAGGATCTCTCTCAGGTGACAGAATAGAGCAGGCATAGGCAAACTTGGGCATTCCCGGTGTTTTGGACTTCAACTCTCTCAATTCCTAACAGTCTACCAGCTGTTAGGAATTGTGGGTGTTGAAGTCCAAAATGCCCAGAGGGCCCAAGTTTGCCATGCCTGGGATAGGGGTTTCAGTGGAAAATAGATGCACAAAGGCATCTGTTCTCATTACTGTAAACTAGCCCAAAAGTTTTGGATGAAGCTAAGAACAAAAGAAAAAAGATACATTGGTAAATAATATATACCCACCTTTTAGAGAACTGTCGTTCAGATGTCACTGTGATCTTGTTCTTCAAGCGTTCAATGTGAACTACATTTCCCAGGTTTCCTGTTTTTCCATTGACTTTAACTTTTTCCTTCAGGAACTGTTCCTATACCAACAAAGAACAACAATACAACACTAGGGAATGTGGCCCTAGGTGTGGAACTAGGGAAGGGACCCTAGCCAGACATTTTTTGTTATTATGGAGACATAGGTCAATGTCATACAAGGAAATGAAATCTGACTGAACAAGGCACATAAATATTGCTGACAATGAAATGTAAAGCACACTATATGCCTCAATATTTAAAATTCTCAATTTTTTTGGAAATGATTTGATTACGTGGTAGAGATGCAATATATCAAAATAAAAAGACTGCCAAGCAACTTAAATACATTTATCCACATGAATATTTCATCAACTCCATCATTTAAATATGACAGGCAGAATTAATAATGCAATCAATTGACTGAGATTTTCTAGAGGCAACATTTTCATTGTGATTGACAGGCAACTATTTTATTAATATTTTAAACTAAAACATACCCATTTTATTCCTATAAAAATCATTAAGATTTTCTGTCAGTTTTACTTAGGTTTAATATACAGCATCATTAAAAACAGACTAGACAACGGAAAGTAGGAGATTTACTTACAAAATTTCCTGAATCGAATATTCCATCTTCTACCGGATGGGTGAGATCAAGATTATACTTGCAAGTTAGTTTTTTTGGCTTCTTGTCTCTTTTCTAAACAAAAGCATACCAGTTAGTATTTATAATCTTAATTTGCGCATGTCTGAGTGTTAAATGGGGTCAGTGTGTACTAATTTCTACATTAGTCAGATGCTCCTTAATTCTGTGAACGTTTATCTTGCTTGTGAACAGCACAAGCAAGATAAAAGACCTTTCACTTGCTCCCACTGCTGACAAATCCCAGCAGAGGCATACTAGCCCAGCATACTAGCCAATGTTTCAGAGAACTGATCTGGCAAGTAATATAAACGTGTAGTCAAGATGGTAACAAGTTCTGAATGAGGAAGGACATAAAAATTAGGAGGCTACAGCAGTTTGCTTTTGCCTTATCAGAGACCCCTTCCACACAGCTGAACAAAATCCCACATTTTCTGCATTGAGCTGGAATATATGGCAGTGTGCACTCAGATAACCCAGTTCAAAACAGATATTGCAGATTATCTGCCTTGATATTCTGGGTTACATGAAGGGCCCTTCCAGGGAAGTTCAACATTCTTTCTATTTCACTCCTCTACCTCCTCCTGAGTTAACTGAGTGCCAATGGCTTTGGCACTTTGAACTCAGGGCCCTTCCACAGAGCTATATAACCAGAATATCAAGGCAGAAAAATCCTGCTTTGAACTGGGTTATCCAATCCACACTCAGATAATGTGAGGTTTTCTGTCTTGATATTCTGGGTCACATGGCTGTGTGGAAGGGCCCTGCTTTGAATTGGGTTATCCAAGTCCACACTCAGATAATGTGGGGTTTTCTGTCTTCATATTCTGGGATATAGGGCTGTGCGGAAGGACCCTGGAAGAGGCATCAGTTTGCAGCAAATGTGGAAAGGATGAGGAGCAAGAAACTACACTTCTAAATAATCCAGAATATGAAGGCAGATGATCCACATTATCTGCTTTGAACTGGATTATCTGAGCCTACACTGCCCATATAATCCAGTTCAAAGCAGAAAATGTGGATTTTATGCCTCTGTATAGAAGGAGCCTTTGAAGCTTTAAAAGCAGATGGAAAAGTGTGGTGATATAAGAGTAATAAATACATTTGCTTCTTCCATCCATGGCCCTGATTCACCTGAGCCCTCTCTTGAGTGAACACTGCCACCCCGGTTTGGCATCTCATTCTTACTTCCCCTGATGGAACATCTGCTCTGTTAAAACTATTTTTAATATGTTTTATTGAATTTATGTTTTATAATTTGACAAGTTATATTTATTAATTGTTGTATGATGCGGCATTGAATGTTGCCATAATCTGTAAACTGCTCTGAGTCCCCTTCGGGGTTGAGAAGAGCGAGGTATAAATACAGTAAATAAATAATAATAATAAATACTGACTGTGGCCATTTGTCTTAATACTAATAATCTTTCTTTATATCCCACCCCCTCCCCGAAAGGACTCACAACAGAAGAAACATAATATAGCTGTAGAAGAAACATAATATAGCTGTAGTAAACATACAACCATAATATAAAAATATGCCAGTGGTCCTCAACCTGTGGGTCACCAGATGTTTTAGCCTTCAACTCCCAGAAAGCCTAACAACTGGTAAACTGGCTGGGATTTCTGGGAGTTGTAGGCCAAAAGATCTGGGGACCCACAGGTTGAGAACCACTGCAATAGAATATTTATAATAATATAATGTAATTCAATATAATAATATATTATAATTATATATTTATATTACACTAGCTATCCCCTGCCACGCGTTGCTGTGGCCCACTCTGTGTATATGTGTTTTGTATGTGTATATCTCTGCTTATATATTTGTGTATACGTGTATATATGCGGGTTTGTGCATGCATTGTAATGTATTTATTTATTTATTGGCTTTTTAAATCTCTTCTGCTGTTTTTCAGTATTTTTATGAGTGATGGTCACTCTTTGGCCTGATAGGTGTCTTGTGTCCAAATTTGGTGTCAATTCACCCAGTGGTTTTTGAGTTATGTTAATCCCACAAACGAACATTACATTTTTATTTATATAGATGTAATATTACTAATAATATTACAATAGAATGGTATAATACAATACTGATATTGTACTATGCTAACAATTTATTGTATGTGTATATCTATATAAATAAAAATGTAATGTTTGTTTGTGGGATTAACATAACTCAAAAACCACTGGGTGAATTGACACCAAATTTGGGGGAATTGACACCAAATTTGGACACAAGACATCTAATAACCCAATGTATGCCCTTCATTGAAAAAAAATGATTTTGTCATTTGGGAGTTGTGGTTGCTGGGATTTATAGTTCATAGAATCAAAGAGTTGGAAGAGACCTCATGGGCCATCCAGTCCAACCCCCTGCCAAGAAGCATGAACATTGCATTCAAATCACCCCTGACAGATGGCCATCCAGCCTCTGTTTAAAAGCTTCCAAAGGAGCCTCCACCACGCTCGGGGCAGAGAGTTCCACTGCTGAACGGCTCTCACAATCAGGAAGTTCTTCCTCATGTTCAAATGGAATCTCCTTTCTTGTAGTTTGAAGCCATTGTTTCACGTCCTAGTCTCCAGGGCAGCAGAAAACAAGCTTGCTCCCTCCTCCCTGTGGCTTCCTCTCACATATTTATACATGGCTATCATATCTCCTCTCAGCCTTCTCTTCTTCAGGCTAAACATGCCCAGCTCTTTAAGCCGCTCCTCATAGGGCTTGTTCTCCAGACCCTTGATCATTTTAGTCACCCTCCTCTGGACACATTCCAGCTTGTCAATATCTCTCTTGAATTGTGGTGCCCAGAATTGGACACAATATTCCAGGTGTGGTGTAACCAAAGCGGAATAGAGGGGTAGCATTACTTCCCTAGATCTAGACACTATGCTCCTATTGATGCAGGCCAAAATCCCATTGGCTTTTTTTGCTGCCACATCACATTGTTGGCTCATGTTTAACTTGTTGTCCACAAGTCTGTGTATATATATTTGTGTATATGTGCATATATTTGGTTTTGCACATGCGTTGTATTTTTTTTTGGCTTTTTAAGTCTCTTCCGCTGTGTTTTTATGAGTGATGGTCACTTGTTGGCCTGAGAGGTGTCTTGTGTCCAAATTTGGTGTCAATTCGTCCAGAGGTTTTTGAGTTATGTTAATCCCACAAATGAACATTACATTTTTATTTATATAGATTTATTTATAGATTACATGTAATATTACTAATCATATTACAATATAATGCAGAGTTTCTCAACCTGGGGGTCGGGACCCCTGAGGAGGTCGTGAGGGGCTGTCATAGGGGTCGCCAAAGACCATCAGAAATCACAGTATTTTCTGTTGGTCATGGGGGTTCAGTGTGGGAAGTTTGGCTCAATTCTATCATTGGTAGGGTTCAAAATGCTCTTTGATTTTAGGTGAACTATAAATCCCAGCAACTATAACTCCCAAATGTCAATGTCTATTTTCCCAAAAACCCACCAGTGTTTGCATTTGGGCATAGTGAGCATTTGTGCCAAGTTTGGTCCAGATCCATCACTGTTTGAGTCCACAGTGCTCTCTGGATGTTGGTGAACTACAACTCCACACAACTCAAGGTCAATGCCCACCAACCTCTTCCAGTATTCTTTTGGCCATGGGAGTTCTGTGTGCCAAGTTTGGTTCAATTCCATCGTTGGCGGAGTTCAGAATGCTCTTTGATTGTTAGTGAACTATAAATCCCAGCAACTACAACTCCCAAATGACAAAATCAAACCCCCCAACCCCACCAGTATTCAAATTTGAGTGTATTGGGTATTTGTTCCAAATTTGGTCCAGTGAATGAAAATATATCCTGCATATCAGATATTTACATTACGATTAATAACAGTAGCAAAATTATAATTATGAAGTAGTAACGAAAATAATGTTAAGGTTGGGGGTCACCACAACAGGAAGAGCTGTATTAAGGGGTCGTGGCATTAGGAAGGTTGAGAAACACTGATATAATGGTATAGTACAATAAAGTAATATATACTACTGATATTGTACTATGCTAATGATATTGTATGTGTATATGTCTTGTAAGCATGAGGATACGGTTTTATACTGTTTAATTAATGGTTTATGTATTTCATGTATTTTAATGGTTTGATGGCTTTGTTTAATGGTTACTGTATTAATTGTTCATGTAATGGCACTGAATTGCTGCCTATGTAAGCTGTCCTGAGTCCCCCTTTCTGGGTAGAGAAGATATGGGATATAAATACCAGAAATAAATAAATTGTAAGCCGCTGAGTTCTCTTTGGGGTGAGAAGGGCGGCATATAAATGTCATAAATAAATAAATAAGAGTTGTAGTAAACATACAACCAAATCAAACTTAAATCACACAATAATTAAAGCACAAAAACACAACAAACATATTAGTAAAATTCAGAAGGGCGCCAGGGCTGCATTCATTCTACAGTGTTGATCAAAGGTAGGCCAACTTTGGCCCTGACTGTGTTTTGGACTATAACTCCCACGGCTGTTAGGAATTGTGGGAGTTGTAGTCCAAAACACCGGGAGGGCCCAAGTTGGCCTATGTCTCGTTTAGATGAATCCTCCCTCCCTCCCTCCCGTCAGCCCAACTCGCCCTCCAACACTAACCGGCGCCATCTTAGAGACACCTCTCAAAAGGCTGAAGCTGCCTCGAGCACAGGCTTTTATAGCCGTCTGCCCGTGACGCAATGACGTGAAGCGCGCAACCCTAGAGTTAGGAAATGAGGTGTGCCCGTTTCCCCCTTCGACTTCCGGGACCACGTGGGCTGCCCTGCACTTCCGGTGCACATGTGGCGCTGCCTACAAAGCGGTCGGAGAGCAGCAGCACAGCGCGCCTGCCTTGCAAAATGGTTGACTCAAGTTAACTTAGACCTTTTCCCCTCTTTCCACACCGAACGTTTACTATAAAGAGTTCAAAGACCTTTGTATTTGTACACACTTCAATGGAGAAGGGTTTTGCTTGCATCCTTATACTTCTGGTCAAAGAAATGGGGCCTTTGCTGAACTATATATCCTTGCACACTTTTTTCAATCTCTAGCTCTTCCACTATTTACAACCCGCTTTATCTCTCCTTTCAGAGTGAAAGCTGCTCACAATCAAAAGCATAACAAAAAATTACAAATATACAATAATAAAACAGTATTTCATATCTATCAGTAGTAATTATATTTAATATACTAGCTATCTCCTGCCAAGTGTTGCTGTGGCCCAGTCTGGTGATCTGGAAAATAAAGTAACGAGAAAGTGTTTTCTGTTGGTCATTGGAGTCCTGTGGGTCACATTTGGTTCTATCATTGGTGGAGTTCAGAATGCTTTTTGATTGTAGGTGGACTATAAATCCCAGGAACTACAACTCCCAAATGACAAAATTAATTTGTTTTGAGTGATGGTCACTCTTGGGTTAGTACAGTGGTTCTCAACCTTCTCAATGCCATGACCCCTTAATACAGTCCCTCATGTTGTGGTGACCCCCAACCATAATATTGTTTTCGTTGCTACTTCATAACAGTCATTTTACTAATGTTATATATCATAATGTAAATATCTGATATGCAGGGTGCATTTTCATTCACTGGGCACAAATACCCAATGCACCCAAATGTGAATGCTATTGGGGTTGGGGGAGGATTGATTTTATAATTTGGGAGTTGTAGTTGCTGGGATTTATAGTTCACTTATAATCAAAGAGCATTCTGAACTCCACCAGTGATGGATTTGAACCAAACCCAGCTCCCATGACCAATGGAAAACACTGGAAGGGTTTGATGGGCATTGACCTTGAGTTTGGGAGTTGTAGTTCACCTATATCCAGAGAGCACTGTGGACTCATGCAATGGTAGATCTGGACCAAACTTGGCACGAATACTCAATATGCCTAAATGTAAACACTGGTGGAGTCTGGGGAAAATAGATCTTGACATTTGGTAGTTGTAGTTGCTGGGATTTATAGTTCATTACAATCAAATAACATTCTGAACTCCACCAACGATAGAATTGGCTCAAACTTCCCACATGAAATCCCCATGACCATCAGAAAATACTGTGTTTTCTTATGGTTTTTGGCGACCCCTCTGACACACCCCTCGCGACCCCCTCAGGGGTCTCGACCCCCAGGTTGAGAAACACTGACTTAGACCTTTTTCCCTCTTTCCAAACAGAACGTTTACAACAAAGAGTTCAAAGAGCTTTGTATTTGTACGCACTTCAATGGAGAAGGATTTTGTTTGCATCCTTATGCTTCTGGTCAAAGAAATGGGGCCTTTGCTGAACTATATATCCTTGCACATTTTTTTAGCAATCTCTAGGTCTTCCACTATTTACAACCCGCTTTATCTCTCCTTTCAGAGACTGAAAGCTGCTCACAATCAAAAGCATAACAAAAAATTACAAATATACAATAATAAAACAGTATTTCATATATCAGTAGTAATTATATTTAAAATACTAGCTATCCCCTGCCATGTGTTGCTGTGGCCCAGTCTGGTGGTCTGGAAAATAGAGGAACGAGAAAGTGTTTTCTGTTGGTCATGGGAGTCCTGTGGGCCACATTTGGTTCTATTCTATCATTGGTGGAGCTCAGAATGCTCTATGATTGTAGGTGGACTATAAATCCCAGCAACTACAACTCCCAAATGACAAAATTAATTTTTTTTGAGTGATTAGTAGGTGTCATGTGTCCAAATTTGCCAGCAATTCGTCCAGTGGTTTTTGAGTTATGTTAATCCCACAAACGAACATTACATTTTTATTTATATAGATTAGTATTACTAGATTACAATATTATTATAATGTATTATTACATTGTATTATCAATATAGAGCCCCCAGTGGCGCAGTGGGTTAAAGCGCTGAGCTGCTGAGCTTGTTGACCGAAAGGTCGCAGGTTCCATTTCAGGGAGCAGCGTGAGCTTCCTCTGTCAGCCCTAGCAGTTCGAAAACATGCAAATGTGAGTAGATCAATAGGTACTGCTCCGGCGGGAAGGTAATGGAGCTCCATGCAGTCATGCTAGCTACATGACCTTGGAGTTGTCTATGGACAACGCCGGCTCTTCGTCTTAGAAATGGGAGATGAGCACCACACCCTCGAGTCAGACATGACTGGACTTAATGTCAGGGGACCTTTTTTTACCTATTATCAATATATGTATAAACAATATATATTAGCATAGCACAATATGAGAGTTGAATGAAATGTAATGCCTCCACCTTCATAACTCTTCAACAGATCGCAGTACTGGTATGTGGTAGGTACTGGCTTGTTCAGTAGACTCTCCTCTACAGTTCCATTTTGGCAGGAAGCCTTAGCATTGAACGGTTGTGTTGTTAAAGTGTGAAGTATGGAACCCTGTGCAGATGGTTGGTCAATGCGATTTAAGCAACGTGCAGTCATTGAATTCTTGACAGCAGAAGGTGTCACCCCAAAGGAGATTCATCAGAGATTGCAAGCTGTTTATGGTGATTGTGTTGATGTGAGTACTGTGCTACTGTGCATTGTTGGACGAGTAAGTTTAAAGATGTTGAGGTGGGAACATCTGATGTCTGCATGATAAACAAAGAGTTGGACGTTCTGTGACAGCAACCACCGAGTTTCACAAGTAAAAGGTTGACAGATTGATTCAGGACGATCGTTTTATCACTCAGAGAGAAATTTCAAGCATAATCGGCATTTCATAAGAACGTGTGGGTCAAATTATTACTTTGCTTGGTTATCAGAAGATCTGTGCATGATGGGTATACAGGATGCTGACGCCTGAAATGAAAGCACAGAGACTGGATCTCACCACCGTACGACATCTTCCAAGCAGTCCAGATTTAGCACTGACTTCCATCTGACCCAATAATGAAAGAAAATCTGTGGGGACATCATTATGCTTCTGATGAAGACGTTGAGAGAACTGTGAGACACTGGTTGCGGAAACGGAGTGTCGACTTCTTCCGTGTTGGCTTCAGAAAACTTGTTCATCGTTGGCAGTAGTCTCCAATTGTCTGATGATTATGTGGGAAAGTGAATGGTGGTAGTTAAAGAGCACATTCTAAGGATTATTTCTGCATTTATTAAAATATTCCCATCCAAATCCAAACGAAAGTGGAGGCATTACTTTTCATTCAACCGTCATATTCTATATTACTATATTGTACTATTATGTGTAATATATAATACATAGTTACATTGTACTATATTAGTATATCACAATATATATCCCATTTAGGAGCCCCCAGTGATGCAATGGGTTAAACCCTTGTGTCAGTAGGACTAAATGCAAGTTGCTTCTCAAGTAGCTCCTGACACGGGGAAAAAAGCAGGACTAAATACCAACAGGTCGGAGGTTCGAATCAGGGGAATGCAGATGAGCTCCCTCTGTCAGCTTCAGCTCCCCATGTAGGGACATGAGAGAAATCTCCCACAAGAATGGTAAAACATCAAAACATCCAGGTGTCCCCTGGGCAACATCCTTGCAGACAGACAATTCTCTCAAACCAGAAGTGACTTGCAGTTTCTCTAGATGCTCCTGATACCAGTATATTATACTATTAGTATTATATAACATATAGTACTATATTGTAAGTTGTAGTATATATTACATTATATGTGTGTTTGTATATATAATATAACTATATTTATATCCCACCCTATCTCCCTGTGGGGACTCAGGGCGGTTTACAAGGGATTGCAACAGGGCGTTTTACAATGTAATACTAATTAATGAACAAAGTAACAAAAGCCTCCATATTAATAGTAGCAATGGGCATATCTGGATATTTCTGCCTTCAAATTGTGTTTCAGTTTATGCTGACCCCATATACTATATAATTAAATGGGTTTTTTTTTCTTAGGCAATGAACATTTGGGTGGTTTTGTGTTCCCTGCTCTGAAATAATAGCCGACAGCCCCTGGTTTGTTGGCAGCCTCCCATCAAGATACCAACCAGAGCTGTCTCTGCTTAGCTTCCAAAACCAGATGAGATTGGGTGCCTTTAGCATATTTAGGGAACTCTCCTTGCCTCGTGATCACAGGGCTACACATTGTAGAGCCATCATTCACCACAGCTCTTCCCATCTGGTTTGGAGACATCAGGTTGCACTTCATCTCACTGTATTTCCACAGCAGTGAAAATACTTGGAATGCTTCTGTGAGAAGGGGCTATACCAGACATAGGCAAGCTTCAGCCCTCCAGGTGACTTCAACACCCACAATTCCCAACAGCCTACTGGATTCAGAACTTCCTAACTGTGAGAGTTGTTCAGCAGTGGAACTCCCTGCCCCGGCGTGTGGTGGAGGCTCCTTCTTTGGAGGTTTTTAAACAGAGGCTGGATGGCCATCTGTTGGGGATGCTTTGAATGAGTTTCCTGCTTCTTGGCAGGGTATTGGACTGGATGGCTCACGAGGCCTCTTCCAACTCTATGATTCTGTTAGGAAATGTGGGAGTTAAAGTCCAAAACACCTGGAGGGCCAGAATTTCCTCATGCCTGATACTTCCATAAATTGCACTGCCACTAAAACCTGGTCCCAAGGAAGATGTGTACAGTGTGCAAGAAATTGACCAGCAGGAAAAATAGAAGAGTAGTTCTTTAAACTTTATTCTCTTTACTGTGACCCAAATCATAATTCAAACATTTCAATAAAACAATCATTAAAAGGCAAGAACTTGTTAACACAGGAATACTTGACTATTACAGAAATGCAGAAAAAATACATCCATTCACTAGCCAGTAGGTATATTGCATACTTGACTGAGCTGCCCCTTACAGCAAATACAAAAACCTTTCCCCCCTCGTTTTGTTTACAATAACATGTTTTAATGTAACAGTGACTGATGATGACTTCAAGGGTTTTACAAGTTCTAGATAGATGTAAATAAAAGCTATTGAGATCAGTGTTTTGAGTTGTACATTGAGACATTTTTGATTATGATGGATGAGAATCTTGCACTTTTACAGGAAATACTGAAGCACGGCTTGTTCTGTTAAAAGTTCCCAGACATAGCAGACTTTCCAACATTTAAAGCTTACTGCAGCCAAATATGTCATTTAGTCACAAGAACAACTTGGTCACAATGTTTGACTGCTTTCAACTAAGATTCAAATATACAAGAACTCTACTTGCATCATAGGCATGCTATAAATTTATGGAATACAAAACCCTGTAAGACTTTCAAAGCAGCTTTGATAAAATAATCAACTTAAGCTCTTTCAATTCTTCACAAGAGCAGCCCTGAGAAGAGTATATTCAAGTCATGGCTCAACCAGCAGTGGTTTTGTTGAACACAAAAACAAACCGCAACACATCAAGAGGTAAACTTAGATTTTAAAAAAGAGAATTCTCTAACATTTGAGGCAAGAGAAACTATAGTACACCAAATGAATTTTTTTTTTACCCAAGACAAAAGCTTGAACCATTACCAAACAACTCCAAGATTGAGTTGTTCAGCCTTCATTTTAGCCTGTAGCTTGCTAAAAGAGAATGCTCTTGAAAGTTCAGGAGTGCTCTTCAAAATTAAATGCATGTTAGTCTAACAAAATAACAATCTAAAAGTGGATTTAGAGAAACATGATTACCCTGAAATAGGCTTAGGAACCTGAAATATACAGCATTTATCTTTTATTAGCAAAGTCAGTTTATTGTAAACCTGGTGGAGTTGTAGAAACACAGCCTTCTACAAAGTGAAATTGCTTTTTTTACTCTTTTATTGATGAAGTAATACAGCTGCAAGCCAAACAGTGTCCTATGTATGATCTACCTAGCAGATGCCATCCTTTTTAACCTATCTGGTTTCGATATCCTGTAAATCTAGAGAACTAGAAGTCAAGTTGACTTAGGATTCCATCACTTCTGGGGCAAGGGGTAATTAACAGAAAAGTAACGTTTCCGTAAGTTAGCTGCCTCAATACATATCAGCTGTATACATCCTTAGGATGACAGAAGCAGGGAGAAATGAGCAGGAATCTTCAGATACTGTGACAGAAATAATTATCTCAATTGCTTAGGCACAGTAGATAACTCCTGTAGGATGTTTGAGAATGACTAATGATACTAGCTGATGAAGCCTGTGTTTCAAACTGGGACTTCCCATTCCTACCAAGACAACTGAAAATCAACTACCTAGGAATACTGACATGATTGGACTAACAATGATAAAACCCTTAAACTTTCTAATAGCCCTAGATCTTGAAAATATAGTTATTTAACATTATATCAAGACTGTGCTTTATTCAAGAGTGTTTATTGCCAAACCAATCTGCATTGTGCCCCTTCTCTGCATAGATATTTGCTCAGTTAAATCTAAAGAACGGGCGGAGCTCATAAAACCCACGCTTCAAATCCCAGCAGTCCTAGCCAGCACAGCCAATGGTAAGGAATGCTACAAGTTGCAGCCCAACAATATCTGGAATGGTGCAGATTCCTGTCCCAACCTGGAACTTACTGCGAGATCCTCATGGTTCGTTTACATCTCTAGTATAATTTTTACCGACTATGGGCAACCACATTCCCAAATAAAACTCAAAAACCTGTTATCCTAGCCCACCCACCACAAAATGAACTACACATGTTTTAAGAACCCAGTCACTAGTTCAAGTTAGTCAGATGCTACCAATATTTAAGGCAAATTTAAGTCATTAGGTTTCCCCAAATGCTAACTAAGCAGAAGTATGATCTTGCAAGCAGAAGATCGTGTAAATTAGCGATTAGGCATTTGTCTGTTCAGTGTAACCAAGTCCTGCACAAGTAGATTTTGAGTCAAAGTAACCCTGTTAAGTAGCCCTGAAGTTCCTCAGTATGACAGAACGCCGAACCATAGTTCTTTAGCAGGCCTGGCGTCTGGTGGCCTAAATTATTTGGGTGAAACAGGGTTTAAATTTAGCCTCCATACAAGCTGCCATTATGTACACTTTTGTTCCAATTCCTAAAAAGAAGCCAAGCATTCTACTTGTGCTACAAAACAAAAACTAAAATCCAAAACAAGTACGCATACTACTGAAACACTTGAGGCTTTCCCTTCTTTTAAAACAGAAGAGTAACTGAACTCCATGTTGAAATCAAAGGCCTCGCGTGAATCACACCCCTAACCCCTGAACATTTGTGCACTATTTAACCAGAGTATGAAAGCACCCAATATTTTGGATGTTTGCATCACAGGCAAATGGCAACATGTTAAGACCGAGCCAGCAGGACTACAGAGATACAGACTGTTGCACGTGGCCATCAGCACTGGCATTTTGATCATAGGTGTTCCCTTTCTCTAGCTCAGTAACTAGTCACAGTTCAGTGCAAGCCACATTTCAAAATGTTTAAGATAAAAATTGTTATTTTCATTTATTTAAAACGTTGTACTTAAACACTATTCTTAAATCCAAACTTAGTATTACCTTGGTATTGGCACTGCTATACAGTCTCTTTCGAGTAAAGCACACTATTTTAATACCTCATGATCTAAAATGACAGTTTTGACTGCCTTGCCATTCCTGTAAGCACTTGAACTTCAGCAATTTTAGTATTGCCAAATGGCTTGCAACATTAGTCAGCATTATTTTCAAACAAAGACACGAGGTTGCTAGTGAAGGTTATAGCTTTGGTGATAATCAGAACTAAAATACAAGATCTGCAGTTGCTGGAACCTGAGCAACTGCCCAAATCCAGATGGTCCTATTTGCAAGGTTTTATGGCTACAGCACATTCTTCGCTCATTGCACACATAACAGAAACCTACAGCAGGAAAACAAACAAACACATAGTTAGATTATGTGACTGAAGTACATTAAATTACATTTGCTTCAAGAGTAACTGTGCCAATGGTTTGGTGAAACTTAAAATAGAACTATTGGAACCAGAACTTAACATTTAGCAAACCAATCTCCACCCTCATTAAAATATGAATCAGAATAAAATATGAATAGGCAAAGGAAATAATTTTTGAGTAATTGTTAACTAACAAAAATATTCGAAGAAATATTTCATCTAGTAAAGTTTTACCTGGAAATCTTCGCCTGCATTGTATTTTCCCTCTATTTCTTTGCCTAGTTCACCTTCTGGAACCTTCAGATCCTCACGAACGTCACCACTTTCAGTCAATAGCGAGAGGTAGCCATCTTGGATACAGATTAGCTGTGGGAAAGTTGGTAAAACAATCTTAGTTAATAGCCATCTGAAGAAATTTGAGTCAATGGGACAGGCATTTCACCTCAGCTTCAGCTATTCAGACTTACTACTACACAGTTTTATAACCTGACTCTGAGTATTGCTCTTAGAAAGTCAAGAGAACATAGCTTCACTTAACTGGGGTGGTTTTTCTAAACCATGAATTGAATATTTAGCTTTTCAGCCTGCTGAGTCCCACTATTGGGGGAAAGGTGGAGGAAGAATAAATAGTTACTGACTGAAATGTGACAGCCATCATCATCATGGTTAAAACACACAGAATGTGTGAGACACAGAACAAAGATTGACACTAATCCTAATAAAATGTAAAGTTAAAATTCACAATTTAAAAAACTGACTGGGCAGACCTGCTGGGAAAGAGTTAAGTCTTCAATTAGTGTCTGGAGTTCTGACAGCTCAAACATTTAAAGCAGTTGTTCTCAACCTGTGGGTCCCCAGGTATTTTGGCCCACAACTCCCAGAAATCCCAACCAGTTTACCAGTTGTTAGGATTTCTGGGAGTTGAAGGGAAAAATATCTGGGGACCCACAGGTTGAGAACCACTGATCTAAAGTCCCAAAGGCCAAGCCATGGTCTATATTTCCATGTATACTTACTTGGTAATCATTCCTCTTGATATTTGGGACATCCATGTTGTGAGTAGAAGGACAAATATCTTCATATTTCTTGCCAGTGAATACATCAATACCAACTAAATGGACCTAGGAGAATATTCACAAGTCAGATACTTAGAATACAAATAACATGCTACCCTTGTCTTGTTACCCTCAGCTCACTTTGGCTAAAAAGGAATTTGAGAGCATGACCTTTAATTTTCACCTCAGTCAGACTACTCTGGCCTAGTTGGGATTATATGAATTCTGAACAGTTGCAAAAAACATCAGGTCTGAAGGGGTGGATTCTCCAGAGGAATGACATCACAAAGATCTGACACAGGAGAGCCCTTAAGCTTTGCTGATGTCCTTAACACATGCCATTTTGCCAATGAGGGACATGTGGGGATTTTTCACACTTTGTGCCCTGCCAAGTTGGTAGTTTAGCACTTCTGTGTGCAAAGAAGGTGGAGAGTTCTCTCCTCTTGAAAAATGAAGGCACATCAGTCTCCATGTGTAACCTCCTTATCTATTCCTACAATCCTCCAAGTCTGGAAGTTTTCAGAGAATTCAAGCAAGAGGGAGAACCCCAAGCTGTCTCTTTCTGCTTGCCTAAATGCATCCATCAGGCAGGAACACTATGATCGAAAAGCAGAGAGGCAGGGCCAGTTACTCTGGATAGGGGTTATCTTAAGAAAAGCTGGTTAAACAATTTGAGTGGGGTAGGAAGGTGGAATTACACAGTCCAGACTATTCTCATTCACGGCTGGAATATGATGTACCGTATATTCCGGCATATAAGACGACTGGGCGTATAAGACGACCCCCCAACTTTTCCAGTTAAAATATAGAGTTTGGTATATACTCGCCGTATAAGACCACCCCTCTTCCATTGCACACCAAATAAAAATAAAAAATAAAAACATCAGATTTGATTTCAAATCCAAGACTATCAAAGCAGTATCCAGCTCTTCGGCTTAGAAATGGAGATGAGCGCCAACCCCCAGAGCCGGACACGACTGGACTTAACGCCAGGAGAAAACCTTTACCTCACCTGTAAACTCCTGTATGTTTATTATTTGTTTAACAGTTGTGGGTCCATGGAGCGTAATAAAGTTCTATAAATTTTTACCTTACCTTACCTAGAGTGAGACCAGGGCCGGGTCCAATGTCCTTTCCCCAACAACAACAACAATAATGGAAATCTAGAATTGGAAGGGACTCCAATGGCCATCCAGTCTAACCCTAATTCTGCCAGACAGGAACACATGTCCAAGCCCTCCCGACAGATGGCCATCCTGTTCTACTTAATAATAGCAATAGCAACAATAATAGCAATAACAACAACAATAATAATAGAAGGGACCTCAATGACCATTCAGTCCAACCCCATTCCTGCCAGGCAGGAAGACACAATGCAAGCCTTCCTAACAGGTGGCCATACAACTCTGCTTAACAATAACAACAACAACAGAACGCTAGAGTTGGGACTCCAATGGCCATCCATTCCAACCCACTCACTCCTGCCAGGCAGGAAGACACAATGCAAGCCTCCCCAACAGGTGGCCATCCAGTTCTAGTTGCCATATATACTCGAGTATAAGCTGACCCGAATATAAGCTGAGGCACTTAATTTTACGACCAAAAACTGGGAAAATTTATTGACTTGAGTATAAGCCAGGGGAGGGAAATGCAGCAGCTAGTGGTAAGCTGAGGGGACAGAAGTTGTCATAAAGCCATCTTGTGCAGCTTCCAAAACCCAACACGTGAGAACATTTTGCACTGCAGCCAGATATTTCCAAGGTCATGCCCAAAGGGTTTGATGAATATACCCTTTTTGAGATAGATCTAAATCAGGCATGGGCAAACTGTAGCCCTCCAGGTGTTTTGGACTTCAACTCCCACAATTCCTAACAGTATTTGAGAACACAGAAATGCTGGACCACTCTCACAACCACCATGTCAGACTACACAGAGAAGCCATTGCAATCCACAAGAAGCATGTGGACAATTTCAACAGAAAGGAGGAAACCATGAAAATGAACAAAATCTGGCTACCAGTATTTAAAAAAAACTCCTCTAAAATCAGGACAGTAAATAAAAAACAACACTCAAAAGCAGGGGAAATCCAGACAATAAAAAATCAGGGCCAGCTAACACCTCCCAACAAAGGATTTCCCCAGCAGGAAGCCAGCTTTGAAGCTGCAAGGCCATTCATGCTAATCAGGCCAATTGCACATTCACACTTTGCCTCAAGCAGACAAGGTTTCTTTCTCCCACCCTGGACTTTCCACAGATATATAAACCCCACTTGCCAAGTTTCCAACAGACCTCACAACCTCCAAGGATGCCTGCCATAGATCTGGGCAAAACATCAGGAGAGGACACTTCTGGAACATGGCTATACAGTCTGGAAAACTCACAGCAACCCAGCCACTAGCTGTTAGGAATTGTGAGAGTTGAAATTCAAAACAATCTGATAGAAAACTGGGACTTGTAGTTTGGTATGGTACTGGCTCTCTTAAACAGGGAAGGCTAAGGACCTTGTAAAACTACAACTCCATGGCACTGAATCTGTGGCAGTTATTTGGGGGGGGGATTCCCCTTTAAGAATAGATGGCCCTTGCACTGGGACTTCCCCTTTAAGGCTGCCTCGTTCTTGGCTGCAGAAACAAAACCAAAAGGGGGAAAGAGACCTTTTTCTTCCTCCTTCTGCAGGCTATTTAAAACTTTTAAAACTTAGGAGCGGCTGTTCTTTCAGAGGGAGCTGAGCACACAGAAAGGAAAGAAACCCCAAAGAGGGGAGAAAGAAGAAGTTTCTGCAGCAGGACTTTCTCGGAGGTGCCTTTGTTTTGACTCTCCTTGAGTAGCACTGTTTGAGGGAGGAGAGGAGAGGGAGAAAGAGGCTGGGAATGGGAGGCTTGGGGGAAGCCTCTTCTGCCCCTTTTTCCTGCAGGAGGAGGAGGGGGAGGAGGAGGAGCGGCAGCTGCTGCGCTGCTTGGGGATGGCGAGGGGGGAGGAGGAGGAGGATCGGCCGGGAGGGCTGGCCAGCTGAGCTGCGAGACCAGCAGGCTCCCTTTGGCCTCTCATGGCTGCTCGCGTCCCTCTCTCTCGGCATCCTCAAGTGGTGGAACTTATAGCCGGCACACAAGACGACCCCCCCACTTTTAAGATGACTTTCTTGGCTTAGAAAGTCGTCTAATATGCCAATTTTTACGGTACATTCATGCAAAGAACAGAACTGTTTATTGATGGACTATGCTTCTAATATCGGGAAATTCACATCTCACTCACATGTGATACAAGATGTTTATCCAGATTAGAAACAGAATAAGGGGGCAGCCAACTACGATGGAAATGCCAGTAAGTGGCAGATTATTTAAAAGGTTGCACAAAATGCAACTGAGTATAAGGTTTGGTATTTGACGGCTGAAATTTAGAGACATTTGTGGAATAGAACAGAAATGAAGGAAGAGATTACCTTTGCATGACCATGCTTGCCAGTTTTGGAAGTTGACATCTCCACAATTTTGCAGGGACGTCCCTTCAGCACAACAAAGCCATTCTTGCGAAGAGCAGAACACTGCATTGGGTAAGTGGCAGATGCACCAGCATCTCCAGTGGTGAAGTCAACTTCATCAGCCATGGCAGAAGTGTGTTTCAGAAAATACTAAAATTCAACAGTTCCTTATCAGTCGTTGAACACATTTTATCCATCAGTTACATCATCCAATTACAATATTTACAGAACATATGGCAAATATGGATTCATATTCTTCCCACTGCTATCACAGACCAGAAAGTTGTCCCTTTTAACCATGGATACTCTAACTAGGGATTTAATCCCATGGTTACAAAATATTCCAGGAAAAAATATATCCAAAAATGAAACCTTCAATTTCCCATTTTATACGGGGAACATCACTTTACCATGCCATTATACAGGGAGTCCTTAAGTTACAAACAAAATAAGTTTGGTAGATTTGTTCTCAAGTCGAATTTGTATCCAAGTCAGAATAGGTACATTTTTAAGTGTAACTCCAGCCAAATAAACATATCTTTTAGTTTTGGATAGCATCGGGAAGGGTTAACACCCCTGTGGTGTGTTTTGCTGTCTGTGCCCCTATTCAGAGGATTTCGCGTCACTTTCTATTCATTTGCACCTGGTTTCATTGGCATTATTTCTGTTTCCAGAGTTTTTATATTTATTTATATCCTGTTTTATCTCCCCAAAGTGGACTCAAAGCGGTTTGACATAAAAGCATTGGTATCCATTTTAAAATATACAAATATAAAAATATTAAAACAGAATTGCATACAAACAGTATTTTAAAAATTCAGTTGAAATCCATACATATTCAAAGTTAAAAACCATAGCACCCGCTGACTAGATCTTAAATACCTGCATCTTTAAAAGCCTGTTTGAATAAAAAGGTTATAGCCTGCTGCCAGGACAACAGGTCCTTGGGCAGGGAGTTCCAGAGTTGAGGGGCAGCCACCCAGAAGGAAGGCTCACTCTCGTTTCCACTGACTGAGCTTGAGATGGAGGTGGGATTGAGAGAAGAGCCTCTCCCAAAGATCTCAGGGTCCAGGGAGGTTCATACAAGAAGACATATTCAGCCAAATAGCCTGGACCTGAACTGTCTAGGGTTTTAAAGGTCATAATCTGCACTGAATTGTGCTCAGAAGCAGACTATCTTAGAGTAGCCAATTGCTTTTGCTGAATGATAATAGAGATAATTTAACCAAGACCCTCATCTTCAGAGGCATTTCAAGTGCTGTGAGGTATAAATAGGGTGTGTTTATTACCCTCATAAATTGTCTGTGAGTTGTCTGGGTACCCCACTGGAAAATATGTTGGACAACTACAGGACTTCTGGGCAAATGGAGCCAATTTTAAAATAAAAAAGGAGGGTAATAAATATCAAATGTGAGACTTAGAATATACAGTGTACCTTACACGATTGTATGTAGGCTTTCATAGATGGAAGGTTTAAGAGAAGGCCAACTTGAGGGTAATTCTGCCTCAGTTCACTCCTTTTAGCAGTCTTCATATTATCTGGGTAACACTTTCAAGGGTTGTAGGAGATGCTACAGGGAAGATGGAACTGAGAAGTCCCCTTGAGCCACACAAATGCAAGTGTCTAAATCTGGGCCCACTGCTACCTTAATCAGTATGTTTAGCTATTGTACACTTTACATGGTTGCATATATTGCAATACAAATTGCCTTGGGGGATGAGACCTAAACAACGACACAAGGATTGCTGTGTTTTTGTTTTTTATTCATGCCAGGAGCAACTTCAAGTTGCTTCTGGTGTGAGAGAGTTGGCCGTCTGCAAGGATGTTGCCCAAAGGATGCCCAGATGTTTGATGTTTTAACCTTTCTTGTGGGAGACTTCTCTCATGTCCCCGCATGGGGAGCTGGAGCGGATAGGGGGAGCTCAACCTGCTCTCCCCAATTCGAACCGCTGACCTCTTGGTCAGCAGTCCTGCTGGCACATGGGTTTAACCCATTGTGCTACCAGGGGCTCCAGGCATAGCTGTGATAAATAGAAATGTTTGAACAAACCGGACTATGTTGTGTACAACACACACACACACACACACACAGAGAAAGAGAGAGTAGAGTCTGAACAATTTGTTGCTAGCTTCTTTAGAATATAGTAGAGCAGGGGTCCTCAAACTTTTTAAACAGAGGGCCAGGTCACAGTCCCTCAAACTGTTGGAGGGCCAGATTATAATTTGGAGAAAAAAAATGAATGAATTCCTATGCACACTGCACATATCTTATTTGTGGTGCAAAATACACTTAAAAACAATACAATAATTAAAATGAAGAACAATTCTAACAAATATAAACTTATTAGTATTTCAATTGGAAGTGTGGGCTTACTTTTGGCTCATGAGATAGGATTGTTGTTGTGTGCTTTCAAGTCGTTTCAGACTTAGGTTGACCCTGAGCGAGGGCCGGGTAAATGACTTTGGAGGGCCACATCCGGCCCCCGGGCCTTAGTTTGAGGACCCCTGTAGTAGAGTCTTGCTTATCCAACCTTCGTTCATGCAATGTTCTGTATTATCCACTGCACTCTGCCTCCTGCTCAAATCCACAATTGTTTCAATACATTGCAACGTTTTGATGCTAAGTTCATAAATACAGTAATTACTACATAACGTTACCATGTATTGAACTACTTTTTCTGTCGATTTGTTGTAAAACATGACCTTTTGGTGCTTAATTTGTAAAATCATAATGTAATTTGATGTTTAATAGGCTTTTCCTTAATCCCTCCTTATTATCCAACACTTTCGTTTATCCAACGTTCTGCTGGCCCGTTTATGTTGGATAAGCAAGACTCTACAGTGTATGTATGTGTGGATATCTATATATAGACTAGCCGTCCCCTGCCACGCATTGCTGTGGCCCAGTCTGTGTATATGTGTGTGTATATATGTGGTTTTGCGCATGCACTGTAATGTATTATTTATTTTTTGGCTTTTTAAGTCTCTTCTGCTGTGTTTTTATGAGTAATGGTCACTTGTTGGCCTGATAGATGTATTGTGTCCAAATTTGGTGTCAATTCATCCAGTGGTTTTTGAGATAGATTAATCCCACAAACTAACATTACATTTTTATTTATATACTAGCTGTACCCGCCACGCTTTGCTGTGGCCAACCTTCCCTCTTTCTCTCCTTCTTTCCCTCCCTCCTTCACTCCCTCTTTCTTTCTCTTCTTCCTTCCTCCTCTACCTCTTTTCTTCCGTCCCCACTTTTCTCTCTTCTGCTCTCTTTTCTTCCTTCTCTACCTCTTTCCTTCCTTCCTTCCTTCTCTCTTTCCTTCCTTCCCCCTTTCCTTCCTTCCCCCTTTTTCTCTTCTGCTCTTTTCTTCCTTCTCTACCTCTTTCCTTCCTTCCCCCTTTTTCTCTTCTGCTCTTTTCTTCCTTCTCTACCTCTTTCCTTCCTTCTCTCTTTGCTTCCATGCTTCCTTCTCCCTTTCCCTCACTCTTTGTTTTCTTTCTTTCTTTTTTCTCCCCCCTTCCATCCCTCTTTTCTGTATTGTCGTTTAGCTTTTGGGGGCTTTTTAAGTCCCTTCTGCTGTGTCTTTCAGTGTTTTTATGAGTGAAGGACATACATTGGGTTGTGAAGTGTCTTGTGTCCAAATTTGGTGTCAATTCCCCCAGCGGTTTTTGAGTTCTGTTAATCCCACAAACTAACATTACATTTTTATTTATATAGATGTGTGTGTGTAAAACTTGAGGGTAGCCCATCACCTGCACTTTCAAAGATGCATGAGTTCTGTTAATCCCACAAACGAGCATTACATTTTTATTTATATTGACGATGTGTGTGTTGAAAATTGGAGGGTAGCCCATCCCCTGCACCTTCAAAGACCCATGAAAAGAGGAGCAGCTGCAGAAGGCAGCCATCCAATGGTGCCCTTGCTCATAAAACTCCTTCTAACTGACCTGCCCTGAGGGAAAGGATGGCAGAAACATTAGAAAGCAGCGAAATCTACAGTGTAGGGCAGGTATGGGCGAACTCCTGCCCTCCAGGTGCTTTGGACTACAACTCCCACCATTCCTAACAGCCTACCGGCTGTTAGGAATGGTGAGAGTTGCAGTCCAAAGCACCTGGAGGGAGGGCCGAAGTGGTGGCCGTGCCAGCAGGCCTGCGCAGATCTTGCAGACTCAGGGGCGCCTCTTCCTCGAAACCTGAGTCACGCCTTGCCACGTTATTACAAAATCAAGGCACCCAAGCACGATGTGGAGGAGGAGGGATCACTAAGGCACGGTTTTGGGATCTCCATTTCCCGGCCCTGTGGTATGAATGAGCGCCGAGCTTCCTTCCAGGCCTGGATTAACCGGGTACGGAAAGCGGCGTGTGCTCAAAAAGGCTCCGCGGGTACGCGCGAACGCCGGGCCTCGCGCCCACTCCACTCCCCCTCCCTCCTTTCCCCCCTCCCTTCCTTCCTTCCAACGGTCGAATGGAACGAAGAAAGCGCCGCGCGCGCCGGCGTCAGGGAAGCGCTTACCTTGTACGGCACGGGAAGGGGGAAAAAAAGACCGAAGGAGCGTCGCAGCAACGCGCACGCGCACAGCTGCCGGAAAGGGTGCCGTCTTTTGCGCGTCGAGGCGGTTGGGGCGTGGCCATCGAGGAGGAGACCCTGCGCATGCGCTCTTCACCCCCGGACACCCACTTCTTCCTCTCCTGATTGGCTACTCGTCCCCATCGCCCCGCCCACTCTGTTCTCTCCAGCGTACGGCTCATCGGTGTCGTCATTGCCCTGCGCGGATTGAGTCAGGGCTTTCTCCCCACCCCCTCTTCTCCTCCTCATGCGACTTCCACGTGTGGTTTTTCTCTTGCAGCTTGCGCTGGATCATCCCTGTACGGGAAGCCGCCTGACTCAAAAAGTCTCAGTTGCTTCGCGCGTTTGCTGAGCTTGCCATGAATTTATGAATGAATTCCTATGTACACTGCACATATCTTATTTGTAATGCAAAAAACACACTTTAAAACAATACAATAATTAAAATGAAGAACAATTTGAATAAACATGAAAGGCACTGCAGACTGATTCAACCAGAGAAGTAAACCATACCAAAGCACCTGATGAACCAACCTGGACACGGCATATTATGTGAGAACACAGAAATGCTGGACCACACCAACAACCACTATGTCAGACTACACAGAGAAGCCATTGGAATCCACAAGCATGTGGACAACTTCAACAGAAAGGAGGAAACCATGAAAATTAACAAAATCTGGCTACCAGTATTAAAAAACCTCTAAAATTGCAACAGCACTGAAGCCAACTCAGACTTTAGGGGGGTCAACTCCAAGGAGAGATGACCCTTAGTTCTCACCAAAGAGGGAATGCTACCTTGGCAAGCCTTCAGGGAAGCCTGATTCCAGCAATTTTATTGATATTAATAATTGAGACTCTTGCCAAGACGAAGAAGTGGCACCGAGGTTTATTAGCGATTCAGCTGAGATCGGATGCATTGTAGGAATAGTTCCACCACAAGCATAGCAATACAGAATTTACAGGCATTTTTATAGGCAAAATACAGGTTTGAAAGTTTCAAAACTCCCTCCCTCTTCGGCTCCTTAGCAAATCAGGGAGAGGGAGGCAGGACGGAAGAGGGGCATTGTTTTGGCCAACAAAGGTTGATTTCATTAAGAAAGGTTTTCCTGCCTTAGATCTGATAAGGTGTGTCTTCTGATGGATTTTGACAAAGGAACAAACAGGGACCCAATCAAAGTGTCCAAAGAAATTTCCTTTGCCTGCCAGACAAAGAGCAAACAAGAGGATGTTTCAACTTGCTATTGTAAAATGGTTGATGATTTGGTTGGTTTCGAGGAAGCTTGGCTCTCCCTCAGGCATTGTAACAGTCCTTGGTCCCATTTTCCTAGGGCAAAAGTCAGGGGGGGCAAGACAAGGGGCAAGCAATATTTCATAGCAAGATACATACATTCAAATCATAAGCATTTCATAGCAACAAAACCCCATCTTTGTCCCACATCCCAAGTATATTTAATAAGAGGATTAATTTTCATGAAGAAGCCTGAAGTCCAATGTTTTAAAAGGTCTTTGAGGAAAGTTCATGAGGGAGATAGTATGTACTGAAGTCCAAGACATGCAGGCAGAGAGTCCATGATCATTGGGAAGGCTGGCAGATGAAACCCCAGCTGTGCTGCAACTGATTCACTTTGGTCCTTGGGAAACTACAACTCTCACAATGTGACCAAGACTTAACCCTTGTTGTGTAGTCTGGTGCCCTTGCCCTTTGCAGAACTATAAGTCACTATCCCTTATTTGGGGGGGGGGGTGCTCGACTTCAACTACAACCCACCCCATTGACTGATCAAGGACATCTAATCACCTCTCAACAAAAGTTTGCTCCAGGCACAGTCAGGCCATTGTATTCTAATCAAGGTGGTCAGTTGAAACATTCACACCTAGCTCCCAGCAGACAAGAGTCCTTTGTCCCACCCTGGTCATTCCACAGATATATAAACCCTTTTCCTAGTTCCAACAGACCTCACTACCTCTGAGGATGCTTGCCATAGATGCAGGCAAAACGTCAGGAGAGAATGCCTCTAGACCATGGCCATATAGCCCGAAAAAACCTACAACAACCCAGTGATTCCGGCCATGAAAGCCTTCGACAATACAATTTCAATAAATATAAGCTTATTAGTATTTCAATGGGAAGTGAGGGCCTGCTTTTGACTGATGAGATAGGATTGTTGTGGTGTGCTTTCAAGTCATTTCAGACTTAGGTTGACTCTGAGCAAGGGCCGGGTAAATGACCTTGGAGGGCTGTATTTGGCCCCCGTGCCTTAGTTTGAGGACCCTTGTCAGATAATAGGGAACAGGCCTACTCGGTGCTACCAACACTGAGGGCCTTTCCACACAGCCCTATATGCCTGAATATCAAGGCAGAAAATGTGGGAAGGAATCCCACTGGAGAATTGCAGGGCACCGAAAAACCTGGGAGTCACTCTGGACCGTGCTCTGACCTACAAGAAGCACTGCCTGAACATCAAGCAAAAAGTGGGTGCTAGAAACAATATACGAAAGCTGACTGGCACAACCTGGGGATCACAACCAGATACAGTGAAGACATCTGCCCTTGTGCTTTGCTACTCTGCTGCTGAGTACGCATGCCCAGTGTGGAACACATCTCACCACACTAAAACAGTGGATGTGGCTCTTAATGAGACATGCCGCATTATCACGGAATTGCGCCCTACCCCACTGGAGAAATTACACTGTTTAGCCGGTATTGCACCACCTGACATCCGCCGGGAAGTAGCAGCCAATAGTGAAAGAACCAAGGCAGAGACATCTCCAGCTCATCCCCTGTTTGGGTATCAGCCAGCACGTCAACGACTTAAATCTAGAAATAGTTTTCTAAGATCTACAGAGACACTCGCTGGAACACCTCAGCAAGTGAGAGTCCAAAAGTGGCAGGTTCAAACCCAGAACCTCAACCAATGGCTGATACCAAATGAGAGACTCCCCCCGGGCACACAGAGGACTGGGCGACTTGGAAGGCGCTGAACAGACTGTGCTCTGGCACCACGAGATGCAGAGCCAACCTCATGAAATGGGGCCACAAAGTGGAATCCTCGACATGCGAGTGTGGAGAGGAGCAAACCACTGACCACTTGCTGCAATGCAACCTGAGCCCTGCCACATGCACAGTGGAGGACCTTCTTGCAGCAACACCAGAAGTACTTCCCTGTAGCTGAGCGAAGGAAGATTTTTGAACTGTGGTGCTGGAGGAAAGTTCTGAGAGTGCCTTGGACTGCGAGAAGATCCAACCAGTTCATACTTCAGGAAATAAAGCCCGACTGCTCATTGGAGGGAAGGCTATTAGAGGCAAAGATGAAGTACTTTGGCCACATAATGAGAAGACAGGAAAGCTTAGAGAAGACAATGATGCTGGGGAAAATGGAAGGAAAAGAGGGGCCGACCAAGGGCAAGATGGATGGATGGGATCCTTGAAGTGACTGGATTGACCTTGAAGGAGCTGGGGTGGTGACGGCTTGCAGGGAGCTCTGGCGTGGACTGGTCCATGAGGTCACGAGGAGTCGGAAACGACTGAACGAATGAACAACAACAACAAAGGGTTAGGGTAAGGGGTTAGGCTTAGGCTTACAGTATAGTTCAGGGTTAGGCCAAGGGTTAGGGTTAAGGTTTCACCATTAAAGAACTCTTACATTCCTTCTATATTATCTGACTCCAGCCTGGCTTACATTAGCTAAGTCTCTCTTGTGCAAACAGCGCTCCCGAAGAAGCAATGTAGCATCTCCGTATCGCTCAGAGCTTCCGGACCCAGCTATTATACTATTACCCAGAACTTGTTGACCGAAAGGTCAGTGGTTCAAATCCAGGGAGTGGGGTGGGTTCCTGCTGTTAGCCCCAGCTTCTGCCAACCTAACAGTTTGAAAATATGCAAATGTAAGTAGCTCAATAGGTACCACTTCTGTAGGAAGATAACAGCACTCCATGCAGTCATGCTGGCCACATGACCTCGGAGGTGTCTACAGACAACGCCGGCTCTTTGGCTCAGAAATGGAGATGGGCACCACCCTTGCAGAGTTGGACATGACTAGACTTAATGTCAGGGGAAACCTTTACCTTTACTTATACTACTATACTGCAATATTATTAGTAATATTATYTATAATATATTTTTTATTTACAGAAAGCAAATGAAAAATCCAACATGCACTACGGGGGGGGGGGGGGGGCAATGTCAGCAAGCTTGTAGAGTTTATCAACAGGTAGTATAGGTTTAAGACACACTGTGATTATTCTGTATGTTTCATTCATGTTTCATCAATATCCTAATGCACGAACTATTGTATGGATCCCACTCTTCATAACATGAAGGATATATCATGAAATAGGAATATCATTCTTCACTAGTCTTCCCCTTGAAGAAAACAAATAGTTTAAACAATTTTCTTCCCACGGAGAAAAGATTTCTCAAGGCTGTTTCCATTTCAGGACTAAATCTGTGCAGCAACAATGATAAAGAAATATGTGATTGACAATGGATTTTGAATTTTTATTCTGGACTTGGATTTGGACTTGTCTCTTTTAAATAGTCTTTTAAACTTATGATGATGTTTTAATTAATGTTTGACTGTGTTTTTATTGTTGTTGTTTGCATCTAATGGTTGCTGGTTGTAAGCTGCCCTGAGTCCCCCTCAGGGTGAGAAGGATGGGATATAAATGTCTGAAATAAATAAATAAATAAATAAATAAATAAATAAATCTAACACATTTTCGTTTTATTCAGAAACTATTATTTCTCTGTGGAAATACTGTTGTGTGCCTCCAAGTTGCTTCCGATTTGTGGGTATTCTAAAGCGACCTTATCATAGAGTTGACAAGCTGGAATGTGTCCAGAGGAGGGCGATTAAAATGATCAAGGGTCTGGAGAACAAGCCCTATGAGGAGCGGCTTCAGGAGCTGGGCATGTTTAGCCTGAAGAAGAGAAGGCTGAGAGGAGACATGATGGGAGCCATGGATCAAAATGTGAGGAAAGGTCCACAGGGAGGAGGGAGCAAGCTTGTTTTCTGCTTCCCTGGAGACTAGGACGCAATGGAACAATGGCTT